CCCTAAACCCTGAACCCTATTCCCGTATCTGGTGTTCGTCAATGGCTCAGTTCAAGGTTGCAGGCGGGTTGAGGATTTATGGGGCTTAGGGACCCTAAACCGCGTTCTGGGATGGCGTGGTTTAGGGTTTAGGGTTTGGGTTTAGCGTTTAGGGTTTGGGGTTTAGGGGGCTGTTGACTCGGTAGCGTGCTGCCCCTAGAATAGAAATCTGATGCTCGTTCATTCGCAGGGCTACAATAATCCCTCCCCCTAATATTAACCCCCCCCCCACCCCCCTGATTTTGAATACTGCATTATATGGTATACTACGAGAATATCTTGGAGTATTTAATATCAGGGGGGGCGGGGTGGAATAATGTCAGGGGGATGGGGATTATGATAAGAACAGAATAATTACCCCTAAACCCTAAACCCGAATATATGTAACGAAACGGCACCGAAAAGGATCCCGTCAGCTTTAGGGTTTGGGGCTTCGGACTTCAGGGTCTACCCCCCAAACCCCCAAAAAGGCCTCCAAAAAACCCCAAACCCTAGGGTTCATAGGTTTGGGGCGTTTAGGGCTTCGGGAAGAATACGGCAAAGCTCAAGTTACACGCGAAAATCGGCTCCTACGGGGGTTCTTTTGGGTTCGTTAGGTTTACATAGCCCTAGAAGCCCAGCTACCTATATGTTGGGTTCCTGTCCTTGGGTCCCTATATAAACATATACTATCTATAACCCAAGAACCTACTATATGGGCACCTGGGCTTCTAGGGTAGGGTTTAGGCAAGTACTTTGATTACGAAATGCCAGTGCTAGAATATTGGTTCTCAGAGTCAGAGAGTATAGGATATTACCTTGTTACGTTGAACAGGCGAAGATTGAATTGAACTGGCTGGTACGAAGTGGCGGTGACAAACCCTGGGTAGATGTCTACACAACATAGGCGTCTGCCACAGGGAGCAATACGATACCCTCTTTGCGTGTCTGAGGTGTGTATGAACCCAAAGGGTCCTAAGTACCAATATAGGGAATACTTACCCAAACCAGAAGGAAAGTTACTACTACAGAAACCATACTTTGTACCATATAAGTACTTTGGACCCTTTGGGGAAGTTGTTGGCCTACTATGTGCTGTTGACGAAAGAGGCAACTCAGTGCCGCACAATCTCAAACGCCAAAATGCTGGTGCCGCTTGTGACAGTTGCCAGACACGTGTCAAGTCATAGGAGCTATAGTCTAAACTCCTTAGAGGGTGTGTTTATATACTGTCGGGGGGTCGTCTAGGGCCTTCTTGTAGGGGATAAGGAGGATACTAGGAGTTTGGATAATGGTTCATGGGACTTTGTTTCTGGGGGATACAAACCCTACACATCCCTATATTCCTTCTTCAACTTGCCATTTCGGTTTCCATTTGCTTCTCCACTTGATTCTCCACTAGTCTCTCAACGCCTGGTATACCACTATGTAGCGTTACACAAAACCCTATACCCCAGATAATATGGTAGTTCCAATTTCTCTTCCATTGCCTTATATATCCCTGTATATCCTCACATATGCGTGTATATATATATATATGTATAATCCCAGTATACCCAACACTTCTTTCGCAGCACCCCCGCACTAGGTTCAATTCAAAACCATAATCAACTCCAGAACCAGCCAGGGCGCGTTGGGTGCCGCAAAGAATCTGCAGCATTGACGATTTGACGGTGTAGAGTTCACTTTAAACTGTGAACCCAAACCCTAGTGGCCCAAAGCCCATACAAATATAAATCAATCACGTACTTTGTGGCTTCAAGTCTAGTTTATTGGGGCTTTTGAATTTAGGGCGTTGGGGGATCTTCTCGTTTGTTTTGAATTTGTTTGGGGTTTAGCGAGTCGTGGTCCGCAATGCTGTCAATGCGCCTGGCTACTGCGCAAAACATCCATGTTCTGCTCTCAACCTGCAGGTATGAGACGCCCTTCATCATCGGCATAACGGGCAACTGTAGTAACCCTACGGCTCCGCATGAGCTATTATCTAAACTCCTAGTATCCTCCTTAGTAACTCCTATAATACTGCCCTATATAACCCCCTATATACCACCCCTCTAAGAAGTTTAGACTACAGATCAAGTAGCCCGAACTAGGTACTGTTTTTGGTCTTCAGTGCTTCAGGGCCCGATGAATTATGGACTGCTTGAGGTTTAGGGGTATATGGTTATAGACTTGGAACCCCAGGGTAATTGTACAATACCCCTCTCCGAAGGTAGCAAAGCACTTAGTCTTTTGGGGTTCCTTTCAACTTGGCTAGAAACCAAAGGACCAAAAGACCCAGGAACTACCCGAGGGTAGGAAAGATTATTGTGTGGTAAAAATTCCCCTTACCATCAACCTACATTGGGCCGTGCAGTACGGTGGTAAAGGTCTGGCCTCATATTCCCTCCGCCTTATGATATACCCTAAACCCTAAACCCTCTGTTGGTTGCCCTAACCGTAAGGGTCCCTGTGCCCAATAATTGGGTACTTAGGGTTTTGGTAATAGTAATGGTAGTATAGGTTTTGGGTAAGTGTATGATTATTGGGTACTCGGACCCTTAGGGTAATTCAAATCTTCATATAATCCCCACTCCCCCCATCATGCCTTTCGTCTGGCTCATCTTCTCTCTTGACATGCCCTATACCCTACACCCTAAATCCTAAACCCTGAACTCTAAACCCTAAACTCGAAACCCTGAACTCCAAACCCTAAACTCTAAAACCCTAAACTTTAAACCCTTAACTTCAAACCCTGAACTCTAAACCCTAAACTCGAAACCCTGAACTCCAAACCCTAAACTGAAAAACCCTAAACTTTAAACCCTTAACTTCAAACCCTGAACTCTAAACCCTAAACTCGAAACCCTGAACTGAAAAACTCTAAACTGAAAAACCCTAAACTTCAAACCCCGAACTCTAAACCCTGAACTCTAAACCCTGAACTCTAAACCCTGAACTCCAAACCCTAAACTCTAAACCCTAGACTTTAAACCCTGAACTCTAAACCCTGAACTCCAAACCCTAAACTCCAAACCCTAAACTCAAAACCCTAAACTTCAAACCCTGAACTCCAAACCTTAAACTCAAAACCCTAAACTCAAAACCCTAAACTCTAAACCCGGAACTCCAAACCCTAAACTCAAAACCCTAAACTCAAAACCCTGAACTCTGAACCCTAAACCCTAAACCCTAACTCCTAAATCCTAAACCCTGAACTCTAAACCCTATATAACCTCTGCTAAAGCTCCCATGGTCTCGCCTCATATTTCTTGTTGATGGAGTCCTTCACTCGCTCCACCAGGGCGTCCAGGTCTGCCTGCTCCAAGTCTTAGAAGTCTACAGGGTTAAGGGTTAAGGGTTTAGGGTTTAGGGATTAGGGTTTAGGGTTCAGGGTTTAGGGTTTAGGGTTCAGGGTTTAGGGTTTAGATATATATATTTCTATATATATATATGTATATATATAATATGTGTATTTTAATGTTTTTTCCCCAGCTGTTTTTTTTTGCGGCTTAGGGTTTAGGGTTTAGAGGTGTAGGTTTTGGTTTAGTCTCTTTTTCTTCACGGTTAAGGGTTTAGGGGATGTAGGATTTAGGGCCTAGGGTCTAGGGCTACGGGTTTGTAAGGTTTATGGTGCGCTTAGACCCAAGCAAGGCCTTATGAAGAACATCATACCTGTATGTTTCCTAGGGAAGCCGAGAGAAGATTCCTGGGTTGCTGACCAGGAGCTTGAATTAACTTACTATAGTAAGGAAACCCTAGAATTTTTTGCGTCTACCCAGAATAGAATATGCAACTTAATTCAAGCTCCTAAACCTACAAACGATAAACCCTAAATCCGCACACCCCTACATCGTAGCAACGCACCAGGGCGGCTTGGTGCGGGAACTGGTAACCGGAGTTCGTGTCTCTGTGATGAACAACGACCACCTAGTTCTCCCAAATACCCAGTTTAGGGGTTAAGGGTTCAGGGTTAGGCTTTTCTGGGGTGAAGGTCGTTATAATTATGATGAGTCTTTATCTAAGGGATGTCTAGTCAAGAGAAAGCACTAGGTGGGCGGCAGCTTGCAAAACTTCGACAACACCATCGTCCACTTGCACAGCTCCGCAATCGAACAGTGATGTGGTTTGGAATTTCGTCTGCGACGTAAATTTGCGCACCAAACGCAAACGAGAGCTCAACGTCGCATGCGACCGCATACCAGGATCGGCCATTAGACCCTAAATTTCCCTATTGATCCCTTAAGAAGGGAAGGTGAAGGCTCGTTGAGGTCCAGCAGCCCATACTCATGGGTTCCCCTACTACCCCCCTCTATTTTACCCCTCCTAGGTTCCCTCATAATTAAGGCTTAGTTAACCCTAAATAACCTTAATTAAGGGGGGAACCTAGGGGGGGTAGTAGAGGGGATCCCATGACATACTGATACTGCTGCACAAAGGCACGGTCCAACTCTCAAAGCTACGCACACCAATGGCGAAAACAGAGCATCTTCCTGCAAAAGTTCGCGAACTGATTTCCAACAAATTCGAGCGCAGGCAAGTATATCAAACAGGGGTCCGGAAATTCTTGCTCCCAGGACCCTCCTTGTACCCTTAATTGGGGATATATGGTCCCTAATAATGGGTACTTAGGCCCTAATTGAGGGTAGGAGGAGGGTCTAGGTCCTTACTGAACTTTAGCTTGGCACATCTCTGGGAAAAAATGTTGGCCTACAGGGCGTCCGATGAAGAACGGACGTGTCAGATTGTTGGCTGATGTGTCGTTCGTGTTCAGATGCCCTAAGGGTCCAGGGACCCAAATAATAGGGTTTTAGGGGCCAAATACCATTTATATTATCATATTTGGGCCCCAAGACCCCATTATTTGGGTCCTTGGACCCTTAGGGATAACTATCAATTCCGTTCTGCATCTAATGCCAGTACCCTAAGCCCTAGTCCCTTTGGTTGCGTTGTCAGCAGTCATGATTGTCTCTTCCTGCAGCAGACTCTGATGTGTGTAGGAGGGAAGTTCGTCACTGAAAAACAATGTTCCGAACCCTAAATCCTGGACCAACAAAGCCTGAACGCTTGATAAAGGAAATTCGGGCCAAGCGGGCTCTTTGCAGCTCAACGGTTGCCAAAGCAAAAATTCGAAACTCTAGATGTCAACTCAGCAATTTCGGGAGCTTTGATTTTCCGTCAACCGTTGAGCTGCAAAGAGCCAGTGTTGCTCGGAATTTCTAAACCCTAAACCCTAAACCCTAAGCCCTAAACCGTGGGGGGTTTAGGGTTCTGAGCTCTGCAGGGAAGATCTCAGCGAGTGAGGAACGGAGGGGAAGCACTTTCACGGGGCTGGAGTACACGCTTCAGGGTCAGCCGCCGCTTCGTCGCATACAGGCATTACTGCCCAAGAAGCCCAATATAGTCGTACCAAGAAACATTCCTCAAATCATGATACTAAGGGTTTGAGTATTCCATCCCAAAGGGTCCTAAGTACCAATCTAGGGACTACTTACCCAAACCATAAAGGAAGTTACTACTACAGAAACCATACATTGTACCATATAAGTACTTTGGACCCTTTGGGTATGCGGAGCTATATTGGGCTCTCTGGGTGAGATTTGACGCTTGGCGCCTCAGAACTCCAGCAGGCAGTCTTTGAAGCTTTTCATGTCTTTCACGTGGGAAAAATGCTTCCAGTTCAGGGCGCAGAAGACATCTGATAAATCTTTTGCTTGCCCTTGTCCTTCGAATCCGTTTGCAACCTGCTTTCATGCAAAGAAATCCAAGGAATCTCATCGAATCCTGCCCTTAGGATGACATGAGTGGCGAAAGATGCCCCTTTTACTCTCTTCCCCCATAACCAGGGCTAAAAAAGTTTAAGCTGTAGTATAGAGGCCCAAAAAAGAAGCCCCAAAGAGGTTCGAGTGTCTTTTGGCTAAGTAAGTTTAAGCTTCGAAGAAAGTCTTTACCTTAAGGGTCCATGTACCCAACAATTAGGTACTTGGGTGTTGGGTTATAGTAATTATAGTACAGGTTTTGGGTAAGTATATGAATATGATTATTAGGTACTTGGACCCTAAGGGTAAGTTTAAGCTTCGAAGAAAGTCTTTATGTGCTCAAGCAGGCTCAAATGCGATCGGAACATGCCTTTTGCGTCTCGGGCTTCGACCTCTGCCCTTAACCACTCAGACCGACCGTCGTGGAAATTTACATCATATAGGGATGTATAGGAATATAATGGACAAGAAAAATGGAAACCACCATAGTAACTAGTATATATATGGATCAGATGGAAACGACCATAGTATATACATCATATGGGGTTTAGGAGGACATTTGTGATGTGCCAAGAAATCGAAGACTTTTGTTTTTCGCATGCTTGCAGCTCATTAGGGCAGCCCACTTGACTTGGAAGAATCGTCCCGTGTTTCTTCCCTATACCTCTAATTCCCGTAAGACTCATAATTCTCGACCCTCCTCCTACCCTCTATTAGGGCCTAAGTACCCATGATTAGGGACCATATATCCCCAATGAAGGGTACTAGGAGGGTCCTGGATGACAGCCTTTATACCCGTGATTGCGGCTCAAAGGATTCTAGGCGTATGGAATTTGTAGGTAGAAAAGTTTCTGCATGCATGATGGTTCCACAAACATGCTGTTGTGCATCAAAATAGTTTTTTGGGCGAGCACGGCGTCATGCAGGGGTTTGACGGACGGCGTCGGAAGCCAATTCCAGCTCGGTGTTTCGGTTACAAATTTGCAGGTTGCAATGCGCAGGGCGCATGAACGGGTTTCAAGGTCTCAGGCTTAGCCCCAACAGCACTATTTTTCTGGCAGTATTAACAATAACGGCAATAAGGATCGCAACATAGTTTTGATTGCACTCCTGGGCACAGGCAATATTGCAAAAGCAACAAAAGTCGCGCGTGAGCCGTTTCCCCAGCTCTGCACCATGAAAGACTTTTTTTTTTAGTCCTGGAAGCGTTGATGAAGAATGCATGAGATGTCGTTTCGCCGTCACAACGGGCTGCCCGATGGACTTCTGGGGTACCCAAGCAAGACCTAGACCTCCCACATACTCATAGTCAAGTCAATATATCCCTAAGGGTCCAAGGACCCAAATAATAGGGTTTCAGGGCCCAAATACCATTGATATTCTAGTATTTGGGCCCTAAAACCCTATTATTTGGGTCCTTGGACCCTTAGGGTATGGTTCAGGGTTTGGGGTATACGGTTTAGAGTTTAGGGTTTAGGTGTTTACCCCAAATCAATGGGTACAATGGCTGTTCTGATGGGCACTTGGGAGCCTTCCCCAACGCCCACAATGATAATACCCAAGGGGTCCATGTAGCTACATGGTACATACTTGGTCCTTGAAGTAGGTATATGGGAATCCCGCTGGGCCATAAAATATACCTGCATGGGCCCTTTGGGATTGGGATAGCCCTTGCACCCTTCTTTTTGGGCAAAAATTCCCAGAGGGCCCATGCAGGTTCATAGTATACACTTGGGGCCCAAAGGGCTCCCATTCACCTACCGTTAGGCCCGAAGAAGAGACCGTGTAGCTACATGGACCTTTGGGACTGGGAGGTCTAGTAAAATGGTAGTTTCCCAAAATAAGGGGACCCCAATATAGACCCCAAAATACTATTATCCTTATTATTGGGACCCCCAAAATGGTACCCCTAATTTTGGGAAACTACCAAATCGCAGCAATGCCCGTGCGCGACGACGCGGCAGTCGACCCCCGAAGCCCTGCCAGGGATGCAGATGGGGATTTCTACTTGCATTTTATAGGGTTTAGGGTTTAGGGTTTAGGATTTAGGGTTTGAGGGGTTTAGGGTGTAGGGGCTTAG